TTTTCAACAAAAATGAGATCGTGATTATGTGTAATGCCACGTAGGATCAGGCGCTGGCCTTAGCGGAAGGGGATCGAACCCTCCCCCTTTTTTTTCGAACTTTTCAACAAAACTGAGATTGTAATTATGTGTAATGCCACGTAGGGTCGGTCGCTGGCCTCAAGGGGGGGGGGATCGAACCCTCCCCCTTTTTTTTTTTTCGAACTCTTCAACAAAACTGAGATTGTCATTATGTGTAATGCCACGTAGGATCAGGCGCTGACCTTAATGGGGAGGGATCGAACCCTCCCCCTTTTTTTTTCTCGAACTTTTCAACAAAAATGAGATTGTCATTATGTGTAATCCCACGTAGAATCGGTCGCTGGCCACGTAGGATCCAACAAAAATGGGGGGGTGACTGGGGCAAACGCGCGGGGGATCCTGCGTTTGGCAAACGCAGGACCCCCCGCGCGATTGCCCCGGGGAAAACGCGCGGGGGGTCCTGCGTTTGCCAAACGCAGGACCCCCCCGCGCGTTTCCTCAGGGCAGTCGCGCGGGGCGTTCATCCCGGGCGGTCGGCATCCGGGGGGGTCCTGCGTTTGCCAAACGCAGGACCCCCAGCGGGTGCCCGAGGCAAACGCGCGGGGGGTACTGCGTTTGCCAAACGTAGGACCCCCCGCGCGTTTGGCCCGAGCACCCGCCGGGGTGTCCAGCGTTTGCCAAACGCAGGACCCGTGTCGTGGAGTGCTCGGGGCAATCGCGGGAGGGGTCCTGCGTTTGGCGAACGCAGGACCCCCCGCGATTGCCCCGGGAGGTCTGCATCAGGTGGGTCCTGCGTTTGCCAAACGCAGGACCCCCCCCGCGATTGCCCCGAGCACTCGCCGGGGGTCCTGCGTTTGCCAAACGCAGGCCCCCCGACGGGTGCTCGGGCCAAACGCGAGGGGGGTCTTGCATTTGGCAAACGCAGGACCCACCACGTTTGGTAAACGCGCGATGCCCCGCCCCCCCCGATTGTCCCCTACCGGCCGGGGGTTCTGCGTTTAACAAACGCAGGATCTCCGACTAGTGGGCGACACATCGGCGGGGGTCCTGCGTTTACTAAACGCAGGACCCCCCACCAATGTGCCGGCCGGTAGCGGGAGGTCCTACGTTTGTCAAACGCAGGATCCCCCAGCTATGAGCCGATTCATCGGTGGGGGGGGG